TGCCCAGGTCTGTCGCGTGGTACAGGTAGATTATTGCTCCCCAGGCACCCGTGCCATGGTGCCACTGAGGACAAACGAGATATATTTTATTTAAGAGACTGCTTTGCTGTACTGCCTGCCAATCCATATGCAGCGAGAAAGAAGAGGATAAGAAACAGGTAGAAAATGTGTCCCCTTGTGGTCTTGGCTCATTCGGCTCACGGTCGTTCTGAATCCTCTTCATTCAGCGGATATTTACTGAGGACGTTCTACGTGCCAGGCTCTGTCTGAGGGGCTTAGGATGTCAGTGAGCAAAACAAAGATCTGGATCCTCAAGGTACTGACGTTCTTGTGGGGGATATGCAGCCCTCTGAGCTCCCTAAGGTGGGGATGGTGTCCCTTGTCTACTAGTGTATCCTCAGGGACAAGCCTGGAGGCTGGTATGTAACAGTGCTCAATAATTGTTGAACTACCACTTAAGAGTTTCAGAAATGCTAGTTGGTAAGAAAGAACATGGAAAAAACCAAATGATTTCTTAGCTCTAAGAGATCTATTATGCTGGCTTGTTCTGTAATTGATCTTTAGTTATAAAGTTCTCAACCACAGAGAAAAATATTGAACGTGCTCTAGCAGGGGTACCTTTTCCTCATTACCCAGGAATGTGATCTCCAGTATAAAAAGTATTTTATTCACATCAGAACTTTGAGTTTGCGTGACGACAGTTGATATTAAGTGTATTGGTGGCCTAGACCAAACTCTGAGGTCAGAAGATACATTAGAAGGACAAGTTAAGGGGGAGAATTGTCTTTTCCCACCCCACTCCCAAGAAATGAAAAGAGAAATAGCAAAAATATGTATTGACCTTGATGTTGAAGTGGCTACCTGTGAAATGGTTCTTAAGTCTCTGGGTTTCTCCCAGCCTTGGTTCTCTATTTTGATTTTGGAGCTGTGGCTTCCTTCCCATATCCATTTCCACCTTGGTTTGATAGTACAGAAAGGCACAGGTGACAGTATTAAAGAGCTGAGAATGTGGTCCAGAGTCATAGAACAGAACAGGACAAAACTACGCACTGCTGTAGGCTTGTATGTAAGAATGTGAATTTCAGGGCCCTGCCTTCAAAAATGCTGCTGCAGAGCCGAAAGGGTCAAGAGGAAGGCCAAGTGCTGGCTGGTCAGTTCCCTCCCCACGTGTCCTCAGGAAGTCCTACTTTTGCACTGACCTAGGGGCCAACAGACAAGACCTGGAAGGAGGAGGTTCAGAAGGAGGATGATGAAACCAGATAGAAAAGGGAGGAGAGAAGAAAAAATGGAAGCAGGTCAAGGGAGGTGTAGAGTGTGTCCCCGTGAAGGGTGAGTGGGCTTTCCTGCCAAAGGCAGGGTGCTAGGTCGCCTGGGTTTGAACAAGAACAAGGCTGTGGGACACTGGCCTGAGCTCTCCTCACTGGGTTGAGGACAGACGGTAATGTAGGCAAGAGAAAGCAGGGTTTTGCCTGCTTGTCAGGCTGAACAAACCAGCTGGTGCTCAAGGGACTTGCAGGCCCTTTCTCCTTGGTAATAACTAAGCTGTCGGGAAACGCACCCAGCTCAGGAAGGTTGCCGAAGCAAGGTACGGAGGTGAACCTGGAGCTCTGATGGCTTGCCAGAGTGCCTGCTGCTCTATGCTGGCAAGAACATTCAGTTTTAGCATAGTTTACCATAATGAATTCTGACATCATCGCACTCTCTCAGTCAAGGGTGTTGAAATGGAATAAATGACCTAATGTCAGGGGTCTGTGGAAACCCTCAAAACCAAGGAAATTCCTTGGCTCTTTCCTCTTCATTTTGGAGTGGAATTTTTAAGCTACAGTTCATTCTAGATATTTAATGGATCTCAACATTTTAAGAATAAAATAATAGTTTAGAGACATGAAAGCAATCATGTGGCTTTTGTTTATTTCCCTCAAATTGGGGCATTTCATAGCATTTAGAATGTAATTTTTAAAAGTTGATTTCCTTTTTTTGTTCCTTTCTATCATGATTTCCATCTAACTTAAAAAAAATTTTTTTCTGCTGTCATGGCAACAGTGGAAGTGATTGGTTGAATAAAATTATGTAATTAAAAAGTGTATGAATGGTATAGGAGTTGCTGAGAATTGTATGTTTTTGCATTTGGGATAACTTTTTCCTTTTCAGATATTTAAAATGTGCAATTGGGGCTGGCCCGGTGGCATAGTGGTTAAGTTCACGCGATCTGCTTTGGTGGCCCAGGGTTCGCAGGTTCAAATCCCGGGTGCAGACCTACATACCACTCATCAAGCCATGCTGTGGCGGCGTCCCATATACAAAATAGAGGAAGATTGGCACAGGTGTTAGCTCAGTGACAATCTTCCTCAAGCAAAAAGAGGAAGATAGGCAATGGATGTTCGCTCAGGACCAATCTTCCTCACCAAAAAATAAAATAAAATGTGCAATCTTTCACCTCCAGTCTTTTCTTCTTCCTGCTACCAGATTGATCTGTGTTGGACAACCAGCCTCGTGGTTGTCCTGATGGTGCCACATTCATTTGACTGGCACAGCCCCAGGCCTTCTGAGACATTCTGTGGTTACTGTGGATCCTTTGTTTACAAGAAAGATTCTTCCCAGCTTGAGGGAGAATTTGGTTCTGAATCCTAAGCTCTCTCCAGAAATAAACTGAAAACAGTTTGAGAAAAACCTGTATTTGCTTCAAAGGCAATGTCAATCTGCCTTCAGTTCCTGGTTTTGTGTCATCCTGTGTGGCTTTGCTTCAGTCATGGACACTTCCTCCCGTCCTCCACCAGGGGGCCTCGGTCCTGCACGGGAGAATCCACCGCCTGCCTTAGAGGGGAGTTGAATTTCCCTATCCATCATTTCTCTTTTAAGGCAGCCAAGGCAGTACCCTCGGACACTGGACTGCTTCACCTGTCCTAACGAATTTTCTTTCCCATTTTGAACCAGTTCCTAGGAGTATCTCATTAGCTGTGATCACTGGAACATGTAAAATTTCTATTATGTCTATATATTAAGTAATTTGCATCTTAATAATATAAAACATAGACCGGAGCTCTTGTATTCATATTTTGTTCTTTCTTCGAGAGTTGCACCTCAGTTTGAGAGCTTATATTTCTTTGTCCAGGAAAGTGACAGAGTAGGGTAGCAAGCTCCCTGCTTGCCCTCACACGGGGTTGTGAACCTGAGCCAGCCATTTCCCTTCTGTGTCGTAATGGGCTAGATTGTGTTGGATCATTTACAGCTAGATAATTCTGTGCCTCTGTAAGAGGATAAGTATCTCATTCTGCAAGGAGGGCACGGGAGACATTCCGAGTGACCAATTCCTATCTTGTAACCTTCCCTGAGTTATAATATTTAGATTTGATACTGCCTCTTCAAGGCCTAATTTCTACCCTGGTAAAGTAGCTCTTTAACCCAGGTCTCCAATGACATTATCTCAGTCCCACTCTTACTTCATACTGTTCAAAATGCCATTCCTTTTGTGCACAGTAGGGGCTTAATCTGTGGTTCCGGAATAAGGCTTCTTGGTCCTACCCATCCCTTTTTTAGCTGTAGCTATTTCCTTTCCCTCTGTTACTTAAGGGACCTGAGCTCCAGTCCAAAGCAAATGTACTTTGCTGCCTGTGAACACAGATCCCATAAAAAGGAATGAAGAGGAAAGCAGAGTAGATTGCATGTCCCAGGGCCTATTACCTAATTTTCATTCACCTCTCTGTTAGGTTTCCTTTAGCACTGCTGGGAGTCCTTAGGACAAGCTTTTCTTTTAGTGCCACCATAAAGCTGCTGATCTGATATCAGCTGACGTGTGTGGGTGGGAGGAATATGGGAGGATTTATGCATCTATGCCGGTAAACCATTATCTTCCAGTTCTGGGGCTGTTCCTGTGAATGAGAGTCCTGGGATGTCATGTAGGTATAAGATATGAATTAATAGCCATCGTGAGCGCTTGTAACATACAGAACTCACATTTACTTTGATTTAATACCTTTGCGAGATTTAAAATGTCATCCAAGTAGAGAGCTGAATGCCTAGAGCATCTGCCGCAGCCTGCGGAGGCTGGCTGACGGCTTTGCACTGGCTGACCCGCGCTGTGGCTTTTTGGAAAGATGAGATGTGTTCTAATGAGCAGGTTATAAATATCACAGAGTTATGTCATAGGTGGTGGCAGCGCTCAATGTAAAGGGACCGGCTGGAAAGTGCTCCCAGCTGAACAGGCTGGGTACGGCCTTCAGAGAGGACAACAAGTGGGGCCTGGATGTATTGACCAGGATGTTACTATAGAATTATTTGTCCCTTAACGAAATGTGTCACCAAACATGTCTCTGTGAGGTGTGTGGGGCAACGATATGAGACGTGTTCTCCTCACGGTCAGGCAGCTCCAGGTTCCGGTCATCATCCACTCGCTCGCAGAAGGGCCGTTTGACCCTTGGCTTCCTTTTGTCAGGGCAGGGTTGGGTGGATGGGAGTGGTTAGATGGATTTGTTGGTCAGTGATTCATGTTCTCAAAGATGCAGAGTGGTTGCTTGGTGGAGCCCCTCATTTTTCATACCTTTATCTTTGTCTTGCCCATAAAAATTGCAAGTGACAAGAAGCCTTACCCACATTGTATATGGTGCCTTGTTGATATGCCTATACCCTTTGCCACCTACCTTTTAAGTGAAAAGATAGATTTTAGTACCAGTCAACAGAGCAGCAAAACTACCAAACCATTGTAAGGTTGAAGGTGGACTCTTGCAAGATATCTTGCATTTTTTTTCTATTTAGTTTTTTTTTTGCCTCAGAACTGATTTTCAGATTTTTATTTTCTTGAGAAAATTTGATTGTGGAAAAACAAAAGCCCATCATTCGTAGGTCAGATTTTTCAGATTTGGACAGACATGTGCAGAATAATTGTTTGCTTAGCATCCAGCCAACAGCTTTTATGTAGACAAAATGCATTGAAATATGTGTATAAAATATTTAGTATTAATACACGCCATCTGGAAACCCTGTCAAATTCTGTGTGCACACAGGAACTTGACAAGAGGAGTGGGGAGATTTAGAGAGATCCTCAGAGCAGTTGAAACGAGAACAACTCAAAACCTGCGAATGGTAAGTGTGACTAATGACTTGAGTGAGGCCAGAGGCGCCCTTCAAGTGTTTTCTCTCTCCTATATATACATAGATACATGAGCTTTATTGAGATGTAATCTGCATACCATACAATTCACCCGTTTAAAGCCAAAGGTTTTTCACAGAATTGTTCAGCCATCACTAATATTTAGTTTCAGAACATTTTCATCACCCTCAAAAGAAGCCCCATACCCATTAGTAGTCAATCCCCATTCTGCCCTTTCCCCGGCCTCTGGCAACCACTAGTTTATTTTCTGTTTCTATGGATTTGCCTATTTTGGACATTTTATATAAATGGAAATTATACAATATGTGGTCTTTTTGTGACTGGCTTCCTTTACTGAGCGTAATGTTTTCAAGTTTCATCCATGTTGCAGCATGTATCATTATTTCTTTCCTTTTTGTTACCAAATATTGTTCTCTCCTATGGCTCCACCACATTTTATGTATCCCTTCATCATTCGATGGACATTTGGATTGTTCCTACTTTTTGGCTATTATGAAGAATGCTGCCGTGAACATTCTTATGCAAGTTTTTATGTGGGCATGTGTTTTCATTTTTCTTGGGTATATACCTGAATTGCTGGATCATATGGTACCTCTGTGTTTAACATTTGGAGGAATTGCCAGCCTATCTTCCAAAGTGGCTGCTCCATTTTACATTCCTACCAGCAGTTACCAGAGTTTCAATTTCTCCACATCCTCCACAACCCTTGTTAACCCTTGTTATTGTCTATCTTTTTAGTTATAGTCATCCTAGTACTTGGGAAGTGTTCTCTCGTTGTGGTTTGGTTTACATTTCCCTGATGGCTAATGATGTTGAGCATCTTTTCATATGCTCATTGGTAGCACTCTCTCGAAACATAAGAAATGCATCCCGTAAGACAGGTACAACGTAACCCCTCCCGGATGCCACTGGGTGAAGAGGTGGGTTTTATCCTAGTGATTGATAGCAAAACCCAGAAAGAGCAAAGCAGATTAGATCTTGAGACTAATTTTATTGACAATAAAACTGAGAAGAGAAATATAAAAGCTAGTTAAAATAAACTGGTTGATCAGGTACTAGGATCTCCTGTTGACTTGGGTTCTCTCTCTTCCTTTTTAATCCTCTCACTTTCCTGGGGAGGGAGGTCTGGGGAGGTTCATTAATTGTACCTCCATAGCTTGCCCTTCAGAGCCATAGCCACTGAGTGTTTGGGCGAAGGCCTGGTATTTACTAGAAGCTCAGCAGATGCCACATATCACAAGTGACGTAGCAACCCCATGTAAGATTGCAACTTTTTTTTTGTCTTTTGTCATCCATGCTCTTGTCCTCCCATTATCATGAATCCTTTAAGTGCCGTGGGAAAATCTTCAGCTGGGCAAGGATAATAAATTCTCGTCACGGGAAACGAGGCTGTGTCTTCATTTTGGCATCTCCAGAGTTTTAGGATGTGGACATACAACTCTCGGGGCCAGATGGCTAAGCCTTAGGCTTCCCTGGAATTATAGGGGGTGAGGCAAGATGAGCAAGTTCACACACACCCCACCAAGAACTCACTTGATCTTCAATATTTATTTATATATCGTTGTGATTTATAGGTTCCTTAAGAAGTTCAAATGAAACATTTCAATCTGTAGAGTTCTTTGATGAAAAAACCCTGCAAAATATGGATAAAAATTGTTGCCAAATGTCTTTCCTCTCAAACTGACCTATTCCCAACATTCTGTAAATCTTCTCCCTTGGTCAATATGAACAGCTTCTCCCAAGATTTGGAAACACAAGGAAAGTACCTGATTATATTGGCAAGTGTTCTTATAATTGTTTTAAAAGCACATTTAAAAAGCCAGTCTTTCAAAATTGCTTAAATATGGAGTATTTGTTCATATTGTGGACTCTCGAAAATATATTTCATTAAGGGAATTAATGGCTCTTCCCCATTAAAAGGTGCCAGTGCATTGAATACACTGTGGGAATCTGCCGGCTTCAACATTATTTTTCAGAATTAGAGAGTATCTTCCATTATTGTCTAAGGTTTATGATTTTTAAATCAATGTATTTTAACTGATAAAAATCCTGTGAGGTAAGATTCTGAATAGAGGTATGTTACGAAGGGAGAGAGTTCTCTTCATTTTTTTTCTTCTTTTTTCTGAGAAGTATGATAAAGAGGCTTCTAAAGAAAGTCTAGGTAGACTGGAGCTGCCCCTGGACATCTTCAGCTATTAACTGGTTAGTGTTAACATGAGGGGCGTCACTTTCCCTTATGTCGTACTTGAGGTGCAGTGTACTGTTGGTCTTGGTGGATGATCCTCAGGTGACCTAAGTTCCACTGTTTCTGATTCCTGGAGTGCTTAACCGAAGAGGTGCGTCAAAATTATCTGGAGAACTTTGAACAAATATCCATCCCTATGCCTGAGCTCAGAAATGCCAACTAAGTAGGTCTGGGGCAGGACACGAGAATCTTATTTTCTAGTTTCCACAAGTGATTCTTTGCCCAACCTAGTTGAGAAGCACTTCCTGGGTCTTATTTCCTGGTGTCTTGGTCTACAGTGGACATCAGAGAGCTTATGCAGCTAATGCCATTCATAAGAGGGTTTTCCATCACCTTAATAACTATATGATTCTTTTTAGATTAGCTGATAATTACAAATTTATGATATTCTTATGAGATGGAAAAGTTGCTCTGTAAAATTCTGGTGTGAGATCACGGAAGAGAAGGATTTAGAAGTACATTTACAGCAACCCCACTCTGAGAAAAATACTCCAAAAAATTGAAATCAGGTGTTCAAACAAAACTTGTACGTGAATGTTTATAGCAGCACTATTTACGACAGCCAAAAGATGGAAACAATCCAAATGTCTGTCAGGTGATGACTGCATAAACAAAATGTGGTATATCCATACAGTGGAACATCATTTAGCCACGAAAAGGAGTCAAGTACTGATACACGCAACAACATGGGTGAGCCTTGAAAACATTTCTACATAAAAGTTCGAGTCTTCTTTCAGGCCCACTTCCCTCCTCCCTTTCTTTAATTCTTAATTTATTTGATAGTTACCAACAATTTTTAAGCATTTAAACTACAAGCTAAATAAAACCTGAGTATAAAAAGTAAAAGGTACAATAGATATTAGTGATTGCTGGTAATTTCTCATATTTGATCTCCTTTTCTGAACTTCATTTGAGCTTCTACTGAACACAACCAAATGTCCTTCCTAATCGGTAGTTCACTGATAAGGTGATGCCTTTAAAATATGCAGTCACGGGCCCAGCCCTGTGGCCGAGTGGTCCACTTTGGCAGCCTAGGTTTGCAGGTTTGGATCCCAGGCACAGATCTACTCCACTCACCAGCCAAACTGTGGAGGCATCCCACATACAAAAAAAATAGAGGAGGATTGGCACAGGTGTTAGCTCAGAGCTAATTTTCTGAAACAAAAAAAGAGAAGGATTGGCAATGGATGTTAGCTAAGGGTGAATCTTCCTCAGCAAAAAAAAAAAAAAAAATGCAATCACATCAAAACCTCGTTTTAAAAGTCTCTCTGGAGGGTTAATACCCTGAGGGAAAATGAGACCTGGCATGAGCTGTCTGTGGTGGACAAGCAAACTGTTTAGGGCAGAGATTTCTACAACTTTAGAATCTTCATGGCAGATATATCCAGAAAATGAAGTCCTTGCTCATTTTTTCCCTTGATCATATTTTTCCCAGCTATAGTGACTGGAGGTTGTTTTTGCCAGTTGACGCTTCCAGCAGAAGTCATTAGCTTATATGACTGCAGTGAGATCAAAATGAGACTATAATGGAAGGTTTAAGAAAACGGTTCAGGAACTGTTTAGGTCTTGAAAATTGTGTTCTTATGAGATCTTCACAGATGACTCAGTTGGGGATGATAGGAGTGCATTTGATTTCACATTTTTTATAGACGTTGAAAGCCAGTGGGTCTTATTTGGGAATAATCAAGAAAATTTGCCTTTACCCAGGGGTTATGAGAAACCACTAAGGCAGTGACTTGGTTGCATTTAAGTTTCCTTGTGGTGTTTTAAGAGACTGCACATGGAGGAAAGCCTGGCAAACTTCTCTTCTGGAGCATATTTATTAAGAAAGGCTCATTCTCAGGGGAGATCAGCATTCTTCATCTGCATCTTCCAAAGATGAAAACCTTATGGAAAAACCTGCTGGTTGAAGTTTTGTTTTGCCACCACTGGCTGCTTGTGGGGCAGCCTGGACTGCCCTGGGAGGCGGTGCTTCTGTTTTCAGAGGGATTTTTTTTTTTTAGCTTCTCCTCTTCTTTGTCAGTGGAAGAGTCCAAGCTAAATGAACTGATACGCATCAGTCAACAAAATACGCCTTAGCAGATGCCACACAGCCCCTCGCCCCGCACGTCACACACGGTACTGTTCCAGGTAGTGGTGCTATGGAGAGTCTGGAAAAGCACGGTAATCTGCATTGACCTAGGAGGACAAGATCTAGATATTTCTGGGTTTTCACAGTGAGAAAAGAGATACCTATCCAGCTTCGAAAAAAGGTCTTTCTTGATCAGTAGCCATAGTCCCCACTTTGCCTTCCCTATTGTGCAAGGCTGGTGGGAGCCTTTGGGCTGGAAAGCCCAGGTGCACCAAGATCAGGACACTCAGGTGCTGAGTCTCAGGCTGGGGTCACGTAGGACTGGCCCTCGGCTCTTCTAGGAAGGAATACTTTCTCAAAATCTACGCTGGACATCATCTTATCGTCAAGGAAGAGATGTGCATCATCGAGGTTGAGTACTGGCTTTTGCCAAGTTTGGGCTTTAGCAGGCATCAGTTGGGAGGCGATGAAAATATTTGCAGTTCACTTATTATTTATAAGAGCTTTTTGGAAAAGAGCTTAACTAAAAGTTTCCATTGTTTCAGGTATAAAACATGTTTAGTGTTCCAGACTGTAACAGGGGCAGGGTGGCATTTGAAGGACATGAACTTGTTTTTTTAAATTGTTCACATCTCTTAGTGTATCATATTTTATTTTCTTTTCATCAACTGATATAATTTTCATCATGGAATAAAAATTTTTAATTATGAGTCTTGGAGTAGTGCCTAGCACAAAGTCATGACTGAAAAATATTTACTGAGTGAGAGAGTGAGTGAGTGAATGAATGATACAAAATGGATTCATGGCTCTGCCTTTGCCCCTCTGTGTTCCCAGACGATAGCCAGGCAGTTGGCTGAGATCTTGTTGCGGGGGATGTGTGAACAGAGCTACTGGAACCCTCTGGAGGATCCACCATGCCAGTCGCCTCTGGACGATCCTCTCCGGAAAGGAGCAAACACAAAAACCTACACCCTCACTCGGAAAGCCCGCATCTACTCAGGAGAGAAGTATGGGAGTTGATGTCTTCGTTTGTAGGTTAGGGAAGGGGAGGAAAAATTCAAGGATGAGTGGAAGTTCCAGGACAGGTTTTCCCCCTAAGGCAGAACCAGATGAGTAAGTCTCATTTACCAATTTCATAGAGATACCTCATTACTTTTAGTAACTTCAGCAAATGTCTGTGCTCTACCAGCGACATTTTAAGTAGGAAAATGCTCTCATCTCAGTGCTTGGCTACCATTCTTAGCCGTCACAGTTGGTCTTTGGGATTCTCATTCTATTTATTGTAAGAACCCAGCATCAGACAGCAATCAGTGACAAAGCTGTTAGTAAACCAGAATTAACCTTTTCTCCTTTCTTCAGCAATTCCTTGATCCTTTTGTTTAAAAACCTGTTTTACACTGAATTAGCTATAAGAAGGAGAATTAAATAATTTGCAAGTGATGTCTCTTTAGAACTTCTTAATTTTTTTTTAATTTTCAATTTAGGACTTGATTGCCTTTGAGGAAAATGGGCAGGTGATCCACTGTGGTCTCGCACGAGGTCTCCCCAGGTCAGGGGATGAGGAGAGGGGAGGGAGAGAGACCGTGAGAAGAGCTGGAGACAGTAGGGGTGCTGCTCATTCCTGACTCCTCCCTCAGAGCCCTTACTTCCCATCTTTGCCTGCTCCTGCAAGGACAAGGCATGACGGCTTTCAGAATCTCTGCATGAAAGCAAGGGGGAGGTGGATGAATAAATGTGGGAACCCTCTTCGATTTTCATCAGATTGGAAAAATGGCTGAAAAACTACAGGCTTCTGCTTGTGAGGCCTCAGAGGAAGCTCTGATAGAGATGGGAGTGACTGTGGTACGACATGTGTGACTTCTGAAAAGGACAGTTTCCTTTTCAAAGGGGACAGCATTTCTCAAGGTCACCACCTCTTAATCCTCTAAGTTGACCCTGGCATTTCCCTCCCTCAGTATCTTCTTGTTCAGTTTGAATTTCTTGTATAGATTCAGACAAGTGAGCATAGGCTTAGCTTTTCTCCTAGGCTTATTTTAATTTAGTTGTCCTCCCACTTTTTCATGGCCTTGTTGAACCAGGAGTTTGCTGAATTCACAGCCTGTGTTTACTCCTTAGTCCTTATCTGGATTTGGAGAACATCTGTTCTAGCAGTTCTCAGACTCTCACTTTAAAAATGCTGACCCCTCATTATGAACTATTTATTTAGTAGCAGGATTGAGGTTCATTTTTTAAGTGATATTTATATCTTAAAAATAGACTCTAGATTTTTTTTTGCTGCTTTAGGTGTTTCTTAATACCCAAGGTGCCAGTATATTGAAGAATTCAGTTCTTGCTCCCTCTCCCGACCAAGTTTGACACATGGATGGAGCTCTGTGTCTGTCTGGGTGCTGTTCCAAGGTGGCCTCACCCCTTGAAGGCAGAAAAGCTCACAGTGCTGGCCACTTCTTCTTTATTTCCTGAACCACTCAGACTTTGTCACTCTTCTAGCATCAGCTTCCTCATCTGTACAAGGAGAATTATGGAGGCAAAATGCAGATCTAGAAAATGCAGTTACCAGTTAAAGGGAGCATTCCTGTGCTACGCTGGTCACTGAGTCACAGGCTTCATTTCACACAGATACACACAATCACCACTTCAGGTTTTTTTTTTTTTAACCTTTTTATTGATGTAATTCACATACTATACAATTCACTCATTTAAAGTATACAATTCAATGGCTTTCGATATAGTCACAGAGTCCATCACCGCAATCAAATTTAGAATATTTTTATTACCCCAAAAATAAATCCAGCTCCACTTAGCTGGCACCTCCCCCCCCCCCATTCCTCAGTCCTTTGTATTTTCATATGAATTTTAGGATCAGTTTATCCATTTCTGCCAAAAAAAAAAAAAGCAGCTAGGATTTTCATAGGAATTGCATTGAATCTGTACATCAATTTGAAGAGTATTGCCGTCTTAACAACCTTGTCTTCTGATCCATGAATGTGGCATGTCTTTCCATTTATTTAGATTTTCTTTAATTTCTTTAAACAATGATTTGTAGTTTTCAGAGTATAAGGTTTGTATTTCTTTCGTTGAACTTATTCCTGAGGGTTGTGTGTGTGTGTGTGTGTGTGTGTGTGTGCACGCACGTGTGCATGTGCTATTCTTTTTGATGCATTATAAATGGAGTTGTTTTCTTAATTTGATTTTTGGGTTGTTCATTGCAAGTAGATAGAAATACAATTGATTTTCTATGTTGATTTTGTGACTGCAATCTTGCTGAACTTGTTCATTAGTTCTAATAGTTTTTTAGATTCTTTAGGATTTTCTTTATGCAAGATCATGTCATCTGCAGAAAGTGGTAGTTTTACTTCTTCCTTTCTAACCTGGATGACTTTTGTTTCATTTTCTTCCCTAATTACCCTGGCTAGACTCTTCAGTACAATGTTGAATACAAGTGGCAAAAGTGGGCATCCTCGTCTTATTCCTGATCTTCAGAGGAGGAAAGCATCCAGTCTTTCACCATTAAGTGTGATGTTAGCTGTGGGTTTTCATAGATGCCTTGTATCAGGTTGAGGAAGGTCTCTTCTATGACTAGTTTGTTGGGTATTTTTTTCATGAAAGGGTGTTGAATTTTGTCAAATATTTTTTATGCATCTATTGAGATGATCCTGTGGGTTTGGTCTTTTATTCTGCTGTGATGTATTACGTTAATTGATTTTCAGTCTTTTTTTCTTTCTGCTTTTTCTCCCCAAATCCCTCCAGTACATAGTTAGATATTTTAGTCGTGGGTCCTTCTGCTTGTGGCATGTGGGATACCACCTCAGCGCGGCCTGATGAGTGGTTCCATGTCTGTGCCCAGGATCCAAACCAGTGAAACCCTGGGCTGCAGAAGCAAAGCGTGCAAACTTAACCACTCAACCAAAGGGCCAGCCCATGATTTTCAGATATTAAGCCAACCTTGCATTTCTAGGTAAATTGCACTAGGTCCTAGTGTATAGTCCTTCCTATTTATTGCTGAGTTTGATTTGCTAGTATTTTGTTGAGGATTTTTGCATCAATGTTCATAAAAATCTTGACCTATAGTTTTCTCATGATGTCTTTGTCTAGTTTTGGTATTAGGTTAATTAATAGGAATAGGAATAATAAATAGGAATTCTATTTTTTTAAAGAGTTTGTAGAGAATTCGTATTAATTCTTCTTTAAAACTTTGGTAGAATTTATCAGTGAAACCATGTGGTCATGGACTTTTCTTTGTGGTAAAGTTTTTGATTACTAATTTAATCTCTTCATTTGTTACAGGTCTATTAAGATTTTCTGATTCTTCTTGAGTCAGTTTTGGTAGTTTGTGTCTTTCTAGAAATTTGTCCATTTCATCTAAGTCATCTAATTTGCGGGCATACAGTTGTTCACACTATTCCCTTACAATGTTTTTATTTCTGTAAGGTTGGTAGTTGTGTTCCCTCTGTCATTTCTCATTTTAGTAATTTTAATCTCTCTCTTTTTTGGATCAGTCTAGCTAAAAAGTTTATCAAATTTTGGTGATCTTTTAGAAGAATTAACTTCTGATTTTGTTGATTTTCTCTATTGTGTTTATATCCTCTATTTAATTAATTTCCATGCTATTCCATACTCCTTCAGTTATCACCATCAGTTTTTAGCCTTATAGATTGTGCGTTCACAATCTTACTTCTGATTTATTTTAAAGAGAGAAAATCTATTGGGGTTATGCTTGTCTTGGGGCTGTCTTACTAACAAGGCAGGACTGTCTGATCAATTGACTCTGTTGCCAAAAGGCCATTGTCAGCGATTCAGTTATGCTGGTTGGGAGGTAAAAAAGGAAATCCGTAGATAATGTTTGAACCTCATTTTGGCTGGTAGTCCCAAACTCTCCCCACTCCTCAGTCTCTCATGAGAAATATGAGTTCAAAGCAAACTTTAGGTGGCATAGATCGTTCCAGCTCCAGCAAACCACACGGGCCATTCCGAATAGTTGGTCTTAATATATAATATATGAATACAACTGAAAAGCGAGCTCTGCTAGAAAGCTCCGCTCCCTGTCACTATGACTGGGACATGAAGGGAAACAGGATGCTCAGTCTCTCTGCATCTTGAATTTTGAAGGGAAATGAAATGTAGATAGTCCTAGATAGAAAAGAGGGGAGGGATCACATGTCATGGCCTCTTTACTTCCTTGCTTCTGGGTCTTTCTGAAGAATTTTATTGACTTTGTTTACTTACTTTTTAGGTGAGCTTTTTATTGACACATAACATACATTGAGGAAAATACACACACCAAATATAAAACTTGGTGGCTTTTCACCAAATGAACACATCCCCATAATTAACATCCTGATCAAAAAACAGACATTGGCAGAACCCTCGAAGCCCTCTTGGTACCCTCTCCCAGTTACTACCCCTGCCCAAGGGTAACCCTATTCTGACTTCTCTCTCTGTAATTAGTCTCATTTTTGGAACTTGTATAAATAGAATCATACATTAAGTACTCTTTTATGTTTAACGTCTTTTGTAACATTATATTTGAGAGATTCACCCATATTTTTGCATGTAGTAGTGGTTTGCTTTTGTTGCTGCATAGTATTCCATTTTATTAATATACTCCAATATATTGATCCATTCTACTCGTGATGGGCATTTGAGTTTTTTCTAATTTGGGACTAACAGGAAGAGCGCTGCTATGAATGTTTTTATACATGTTTTTTGGTGCATATATATGTGCATTTCAGTCAGGTATATTTTTCTTTTCGTTATATTCCTCCTTGTAAAAAGCATTTGAGTTGGCTTAAATAATTATATGCATGTTAGGGTAGATAATTAGCACAAAGTAAAGAAGGAGATTAAAAACCACTATTGTGCCAGGAAGTGGATGATGAAAGGATTTATTGAAAGCTTGGAGTGCCAGACAGTGTGCTAAACTCCTTTGTAGGCCTAGGGGGAGAAAGTAATGATCATGAAGTATTAAAAATAGGGCTGAGCCTTCTGGTAGCCAATGCAGAGATTTTTGGTAAGGCTGAGGATGCTGTTTGTAGTATAAAGATGAGGGACTTTGAAGGGACTTGACAGCCGCTTGATGGCTGCACCACCGCCCTCTCCTCACCTCTGTTTTGTACGGCCTGCCTTCAGGTCGTCGTGGCCTGTCTTCTCACAGCAACACGGAAGCCCCTGGGCAAGGTGAGGTGCTGTGTGGGCTTCACCCAATCCCCTCCACAGCATAGCTCAGTGGACCTGGGCTGATCCGTGTGAAGGACCCTTCTTTCTTTGTCATGTGGGGACTTTGACCTATGTGGATTGACAAAAAGGGGAAGAATTATAGAGAGGTCTAGATAATCCTCAGATTGGACCATCAAGTCACTCTTAATGTTTAATTTAAACCCTTTTCCTTCCTTGGTACGCTCATCCTTCCACACAAACCTAGGACCGACACTATTTTCTACCTTGGCATGTTTAACAGACAGTACGACACGGGGTGGGGATGGGGCTGGGGCTGCTGCCATTGTATTTTGTTTGTTTGTTTGTGTTTTTTTGAGGAAGATTAGCTCTAAGCTAACATCCACAACCAATCCTCCTCTTTTTGCTGAGGAAGACTGGCCCTGAGCCAACATCCGTGCCCATCTTCCTCTACTTTTTATGTGGGACGCCTGCCACAGCATGGCTTGATAAGCAGTGCGTAGGTCCACACCCAGGATTCGAACCGGTGAACCCTGAGCCACCAAACCAGAGCACGTGAACTTAACCACTGTGCAACTGGGCCAGCCTCTGCCGCCGTTGTTGGCTTGGATTCTTCAGCTCCTGTCTGGCTAGCTCTGGTTCAGAGGCTATATTTCTCTAGGAATTTCCTGGTAGTGTCACAGACAGGCATATTAAAATTATAAAGGCACCACTACTGGGCTTTGGAGGTGATGTTGTCATTATTTATGGATCAACTTTCTTGTGGGTTGGAGGTGCTTAAGGCCCTCCTTGCACCCAAATACAGTCACATGACACCGTTTCCATCAACGACAGACTGCATATACAATGGTGGTCCCCTAAGATGAGTACCATATAGCCTAGATGTGTGGTAGGCTACACCATCTAGGTCTGTGTAAGTACACACATACTGATGTTCGCATGACAAAATTGCCTAATGATGCATTTCTCAGAATATATCCCCCTTGTTAAGCGATGTGTGACTGTAGAATCTGCTTTGACTCCTGCATGGTGCCTTTGACTTTTAGACATCCAACTCCTCATTAGTCGTGTAATAGCTAAAATGTCAAGAGATGAAATGCATTTGGACAAAGTTGGGTTAATTTCTTTTGTATGATTGTTTCTACCACATACATAAAGTTTTTTACCTACCTGGGAAAAATTTTAAGAAACAGCTATTATCTAGCAGCCGTGATAAGATCATGATTACTATTTATAAGTGAGGGGAATCTTGCCCTGGTTCCCTACGTCTTCCATAGAATCAGATGATGAGTTGGTAAATTCATCCAAAGTAAGGAAATGAGCAATTTGCCTAAAGGTCAGCCAGTGAGTTGGTAACGTGGCTAGAATTAGAATGTAGCCCTCCTGTTCTTAGCCACAGCGCCGGCGCTGTCACCTCCCCCGCCAGCCCACCCATCCAGCTTTGGGGTCTTGTCCTCATTGCCCACCGATCCTTGTTTTCTCCCTGTCCCTTTTTATCTCCCACCCTGCCCTTCAAAACTTCCTCTGGGTCTAGGGCTCCAGTTTTCCAGCTCCACAGGACCGAGGCCTGGGCACCCCCAGATCTCCCCTTGAGACTCCTGGGCCCCAAGAGGAGAATGTCACAAAAGGAAAGCCCCAACAATTTTTGGCTGTCTGCCCGGAGCTCCAAGCTTCCCTGAACAGGGAAGACGGAAAGCATGGCCGGAAGTGAGTCTAGAGAATTCCTAATGAAGGAGAGGGAAGCCTTCCAGTGGGTAGTTTTTCAGGCGTGTCTTTTAAAACTACCCTATCCCCTTCCCCTCACATCTTCCTGCCAGCCCTGAGAGCTTTGCCAAGCTCCTGAGTACCCATCTTGCCTCGAAAGAGTGAAGGAAGTGGAATGAGAATCAGTTAATGTGCTACTTGTTAGCAGCTCTGGTAAAAATAACGCAACCTAGCATCTAAGCAGGCTAGATGGCTCAAATGGAATTTGGAGATTATCTGTGGGCAGAATTGGCTACTGTTAAGTCACAATTAGCATGGGTTCTCTCTTTTCAATTAGTCTGGACAATGCAGAACTGGGTAACCATGAAAAAAAGGTTAAATGTTACTGCTTTATTTGTAAGGCCCCAATTGCATGTAAGCACGAGCCAGGACGTCAGGAAATGATTGCTAGATGGACACACACACACACACACACACACACACACACACACGGGAGCACTCTTCATTCAGAGCCTGTAGGCTCTCTTTCTGAATTTAAGGGGAAAGATCTGTTCCATCTTCTAAAAACCCAGATCACCTCAAACTGCCTCTTTTAAGGAAGTCACCGAAAATCCCAAATCTTGCTCCTCATTCACAGGTCAGCCACTTCATAAAATTTTAGCCCTGCATGAGCAATGGGGACCCTCTCCCAGATGGTTTCCTTACCTCTAGGGACGTCAGAGTTGTAAAAAGAGTGCCAGGCACTGTGCTCTTTTTGTCCTGCTCGTGCTCTTTTTGTCCTGCTCTTCATGGTCCTTTCATGCGATATAAAGTTTGCCAGCGTTTCAGAGGGAACAAGTATTTATAATGATTTGAAACACATTTTTTTTTTTTGCCTTTTGTTTTTTTTTTAAATCATCCCATCTCTTAAATGATTGTAATGTTACCCCTGGGAAGATGTAAATTTAGTCCTTATTTAGTCATCTCCCAAACATCCAGGAGTTTTTTTTAACCGTCTTCATTTTGATTGCACTCTTCTTCTATTCCATGAAAAAGAGTTGAGTTTGGCCCAATTGGTGATAACATTCAGAATTCTACTCGAAAGATTCTGGAGTTTTAGAACAGGAAAAAAAATGCTGGAAGTCTTTAAAAATACTCAAAGCACAAAAAAATAGGATCTAGACAATGGAGATTGGGGTTATGGTTGGGTTTTATTGTTCTTTAATCCTGAGCAATATTGAGCTTAAGAGCTTTTTCTTTTAATCCAAGATGTTAGAGTTCAGCCAAATTCCATATAACAGATTAAGACAGCTCTTGCATGCCGCCCCATAATAAAACATGTGTGTTTAAGTAAGCTCGGTACATTTTTACAGTATTCTAGAAATTATTCAAACTCTAAAATTGCTTCCAATCTCTTTTTTCATCTAAATGGCAATATAAGATATGCCAGCTAGCAAGTAAGAGGTAAGAAAAGTACTGTTTAGTGAAATGTCTGCAATTTATGCCTCTATCACGGGTTTAGGAGAAAGCTTGTATTATTTAGATAATGTCAGTTTGTAGCAATCTAAATTTCTGCCTCTATAATAGGCATATATGTTATTTGGGCTTTTAACTTGGTTTTTACAGCTTTACTTCGCCCTGCTGCCTGTTATTAAAATGCACAGTTAAAATGGATAATTCCACAGATTACCATAGAAATAAGCAAATTAATTCAGGTGTCCAGATTATGCCATATTTTTCATGGATTCTGTATAACAATCTAGAAGCTTTAGCATTCAGTTCTACTCGTAGTCATGTATTTTGTGTTATTTTGAAATTGCCGTATATCAAAGTTGGTTTTCTTTATGCAGCATTTTTTGTCCTCAAGAAAATACTGAAGAAGCCCTGTTGTTATTGCTGATTAGTGAGTCAATGGTAAGCAGAATGTGTTTTTACATTTCTTTCCCCTGTTCCTATAGTCCCTTTTTTGATATGCAACTCCATCAGTATAATGACTCTTTTTCTTGGGAAAAGAATACTTTCTACAGGGGATACCTGGGTGGGAAAAAAGCAATACAGGTTTAAAAAGGGGGATGTTTCTTAATTCTTGGACTGGCTAGAAATGTCCTTTGGTCAGCCAAGAGCATGGAGCTTCTCTTCCCTTAGCAATTAGCAGGCATCTGAGTTCATTCATTTATCCAGGTATTGATTAAACACTAACACAACTGTCTATAGGTAAACTACAGCTAAAATGACCACCCAAGGACCCTTAAAAGGGAGAAGAAGCCCCGAAAAGGATCCTTTATGAGCCTTCTCAGTTTGCCTTGGTGGGAGGGAGAATTTGAGGATAAATCACTTGTTGGATATGTGAACCCCTGGTTTTTATAGCAGGAGCCTGATGAAACTGCCTCATCCTCTTGCACAGGTCCGTCCTCTCCCCAGGCCCCCACCTGTTCCCCAGACATTGCACATTCCCAGGCCGTGAGAGCTCACTCCTGTTACCTGGCTCTGCTGTTGTGAGAGAGTTTTTGCCAGACCATCAGATTCCTTTGAAATGTTTTTTAGCGTTTGGCCAGGATATCAAATTTTAGGTCTAGAATTTCATCGCTCATCATTTATTTACTTTCTACTCTGCATATCGCTAGGCAGGATGACCCTGGCTTGAACCATTTGGAGTAGTACGTGTGATAGTAGTTAATACCTTGGCAAGTAAATGGGGTGTGTTGAGCACCTGAGCAGAACGGCAAGCTCCTGGAACTTGAAAGGACCTAGAGGTCCTCACATCCATTCACTCATTTTGCGGATGAGGAACCTGAGGCCCAGAGCAGGCAAAATGGATGCATCACGCAGTGGTCTCTTGCTCCTTCTGGTAGATTGTACTGCCTCCTCCCACCTCTCCCATCCCACAGAGCAGGCAGGAGGAGAAAGGGGAGGAAAAGGAATCATAACTGAAGCCAGAGAAGGTGCTCCCTTCTTCTCCAAGCACGCAGTTTAAATGGGGGTTTGAAATACACTCAGGTGAAAAAGACTTAGAAGTGGAGCGCAAGAAGAACGTGTGTATGCTGAGTGAAGGATGGATCAGAAGAGGCTGGGGTTAGTCAGGGAGGGTAGCCTTCTTGCCTTAATTTAAAGCTTTGGGGTTTTTCGTTCTGCGAAATGGCCCAGAGATGTTTACAAGAGCAAGACTGCTTGAGTTACCACTTCTTTTTATTTGGAAGCTCCTTGACGTCATTGGCCTTACTTCCTCTGAGGGAAACAGGTTGCCCCCTTGGCTCATCTTTCCTTGACTGTCAGCTGGTAACTTAGGACGGTGTCATTTACATTCTCTACTCTGCCTTGGCACAATCAGGGAAGGCATATATGTTAACAGGCTGGCACTGGTGGCATCCAGTAACTGTTTATCAGATGAGCAAGTCTCACTGTGCTTCATCATCAGTTCATCGAGGAGGGCCAGCTCCTGTTGGCCTCCAAGCTAATATTCCCTCGTTCTAAGCCAGACTCTTCACCACTTGGCAGTTAACTTCCTTTGGGCAAGCTTGGTTGGTTACATTGTAAAAGTTCTGAAAGCATGGTGGCCACACATTTTAGATTTCTTGAACAATTCTGTTTGAAAATATTGTGTTCCATTGTCAGATCATGTTTTCCAGGTTAGAATTTGGAAAACATGGCCGCATGTCTAAAATGCTTGCTCTAAGTGTAGAGGTCTTGGGAATGATGTCTCCAGCTCTCCTGCTCCTTAATTGAAGTGATAGAAACTAAGAATTCTAGAAGTTCGAATCCCTTTGAGACAGTCATATTTGGCCTCTGTGGTCTTAAATTTCCGGAAAATCTCTTCAGAAGCTGGTGAAATCCAATGACATCATCAGTAAATCTGAAGGACTAGGTTTCCAACCAAAATAATTATGTTCTCCTTGTAAATCATTCCGTAATTATGTAGGTAGAAACCTAAATTAAGTTGCCTTGGGATGCCTTTTTTCATGTCCCTTGACTCCTTGATTTTTCAGTTTTTAGACAGAAAATGAATGTGCTCAATTTCAGAACCAAAACGAGAATTGCTGTGCTTTTTTGGTGTCTGAGAAAATTGTATTCTTCGTTGGTTCTGACTTTAACTTAGAAGCATAAATTTGTCCGTAGTCTCTCCACCTACCAGAAATCATGTGGAATTGTACTGCTTTCTCACTTCAAATGAAATTAGCTTTCCCCAGGAGAAAAGGGTTATCAGAGCTATATTTGCACAACTACCACTGAGACGGTATTCTTGGATATTTATTGTTTGTGGATCTCTTTGATGTTCTATATTGTACCTTTTTAATCAAAAGGCACTGATAGACTGTCTCTAAAAATTTTTTTAAAAAGAATGCATTTGGCATAACTTGAAAATCTCTCTTAAATAGTATTTTGTTTTGTTTTGTTCTCTTCCAGGCATTGGTCTCAGTATGGAACATTTATAGCAAATAAATAAGATGAGACCACTTATAGCAGTCCCTATTTGCCTCAGAGCTTCTTTTGTTGGCTCAGAAGTCATTCCTAACAAGAAAAACTTAGAATGAAATCTTCAAAAGCAGGCTTGTTTCCATGAGAGATGACTCACTTTGTAGGAAGTGGCCTGTCTTATACATTCTTATTTGTCTCTGACATTTAAGAGCAAGGAGTTTTAAAGTGAGTAAGTACTGATGGGTGGCTGAAAGTAAATGCCTTGGACTCACACACAAAAAGCAAGCATTTTGTCTCATTAGTGAGAGAGAAGGTGTTTGCGTAGCCTTTCCGAATGTCAGGCTGGAAGATAAACATCAGCCTGGACAAGTGGCCCTGATCCCTTATGTACCACTTTTTCACAGGGAAAACTGAGGAGCCCGCTCTGTGCTCCTAGGAACAGATAGATCTGGGACTTCCATTAATTAGCAGGGGAAAAAAAGACAGGCAAAGTCTTAAGTGTACTGATTCTGAACTCCTATTAGGGAGAAAAGGAAAATGAGCCAGCAGTTAGAGTCTCTAATACATGTGATATGTCTGGAGGAATCTGTAGAAAAATTAAATTTCAAAAGGAGTGAAAACAAGTTGCTGTAAAGAGCATTTGATTTCTAGATAGATGAGATTAATAAGCTTGAATGTGCCTGCTTTATTTCTGTGCTAAGCAGCGGAGATGTGAAATAGGCAAGGTGCTCTCTTGGGTCCTCTGTGGTAATGTCTTTTAAAGCCAAAATCTGTTTGCTTTTTGCTTTCTCATATGCATCTGTTTTGTGCATCCCTAAGCAAGATTGAATTAGTCTTTGTAGTCTGTTCCAGTGAAGATGTCATATAGGCATTTGAATGTTGCTTTGGTGATAGAGGAAAAGTGTGATATATCTCTGTAGGATGGATGGAATTTGATGACACCATTTGATGATGGGACGTGTGGGGCTGGAACTTTTCTGCCACTCTTTAGAGCAGAAGCAGGATCTACAAGTGGGGCACAGCAGGGCCTCACTTGATGGATTATTCTGCTGTTCCAGAGCACTGCTGTGTCTGCAGCGAGGCAGTCTGTGAACCTGAGCCCAGGAACGATCACCCTGCCTTGCATCAGCTCCTAAAGCTTCCTCCAGACACCTGCTGACAGGTACAAGTGTCCTCTAGGATCACACGTTCAGGCCTTCAGTGTTGGCATAATACCATGTACCATGTGCCCTGGTGCTCTGGGGATTGAATAAACGACCGGAGGTGACAAGCCCCTTACTCATTCCTGCCCTTGTCTCCAGGCCCTTGGCAAGCTGTTAGGGGCAGGAAGGCCCAGATTCTTCTCTTTACAAAGTGATAGCTATGTGCATGGGCTGGCTCATCATCTTCTTCTGTCTTCCATGTTGTTTTCAGGCCAACCGGGATGCTGTGCTGAGCAGGATACCCGAGCACAAGAGCGACCGCCTCATCAGTTTGCAGAGTGCATCTGTGGTCTATGATTTACTGACCATCGCTCTTGGAAGAAGAGGCCAGTATGAGATGCTGTCAGAGGTACAGCCCTTGAGTCTGGTTGACTTCCAGGTGGTGGGTGGTGCTGGTAGTGAAAGCACTGGGAAGAGCTGTGGGACCCGGTCCTGGCCTCCACTCTGTCATGGCAGCCATGTGACCTTGGTTCCATCATTTAATTTTGGTTTTCTCCTCTGTAAAATGGGAATTGGGCTAAATGATTAGATGGGGGAATGCATTGGCAGTCCCTTCCTACCAATGGTCCATAAACCCACTGGCTATGAGATTGTGTGTGAGGGGAGGAAAGCATTTCTCAAGAAGTTTCTCTTTCGATGTAATTTCCACCATAACCAAAAATCTCCCATCTTTGATATTAATTTCCTTATAAAATAGGTTTCATCTTATTTAAAGTACCAATGCATAACTCTGGTGAAATGGCGACTTCAGGTGAGTGTGTTGTTAGGTGACCTGATGTAGGCTTTCATGAAAGGAAACTGTCTTCATTTAGAGTCTTTTGCTTGTTCACAAGAGACCTCAGTTGATTACAGATCTTGTATGAGGTACCGTCATCTCATTCCCTCAGCTGCTAAGAAACATTTAGGATGGAATGTTGACTGTTTTACAGTTTCAGAAGAATCTGGTTAATCTTGGGCTGTGGTGGTGCATTATTGACTTGTTGCCCAGAATACCGAGTTCCACCGTGGGGAGGGAGATAAGCAAGTAACAAGATCTTTTTATCTTTTCTGTAGTGGAGAGAAAAGAAAGAAAGAAAGAAAGAAAGAAAGAAAACAACTCATTTTGTTAAAATGAACTTTTCCATGTTATTTATCCTTCTTTTTCTAAATTTATACACATTGCAACAGCCTCTGGGCATGAGGACAGGGAATGAAATGCAGTAACAGATTGGCTGAAATCAGATAAGCGCCCGACTCACCCTCTAGCCTGCCGGTGCATCGCCACATTAGGCAGGAGCCTTGGAGAACAGATGAGCCTGCGTGGCTTGGATCTTTTTTTAGTCTTTGGTTTGGTGACTATACAGGGCAATGGTTACTCAGTCTTCAAAAAAAGCCCCTCACAATCCAGCTAGATAAAGCCGTGGGTCCAGATGTTCCTGTCACACACAGTACACCCCCTGGGGCTCTGCCCCAGCTTAAGATTGGCCCAGATTCTTCACACTCGGGGTGCTTTGATTTCCTGGGACCCTCTCCTCCCAGCCAGCTTAGTTCCTGTCTGTACCTCTGCCACGGAGCCTATCTGTGGGGACAGTGCCACCCAGCTCACTTGAGTTCTTTTTTCCTCCAGACAAACCACTAAATATCTCTCTGGGTCCAGGTTGAGTGTGCTTTGCATGTCTACTTTCATCCCATTGTGTAGCAACAGAGCTTTTCCCCAGCTTGAAATTCGCCTACATCCAAAACAGGTGTGAGGAGCTTGAGGTGGCTGGTTTGGTTGACAGGCTGGGTGGCCCCTGCCCACAGACTTCTTGTCATGCCATGAATGTCTCTAGGGGGACGGCTGTCACCCTAGCAGCATTCCTCTACAAGCCAGGAGCTCCCTGGCATGTGTCTCCTCCCGGCGCAGAATACTGGGACCTTGTTTTCACCCAGATGACTTTCACCTTGTTATCCCATGTAGCTTCCATCTTGTGGTGACGACCTGACGCTGAAGTCACTGGGTAGTCTGGTTGGTTGCCGGAGTCTTTGCAATTCAGGATTTCACTGCCCTGGTCACATTTAAAACGTTGGCGACAGTGCCAGAGGTTGCCTTGAAGGTGCTGGAGTAGAAGGATGGGAGAAAGGGAAATTTGTCACCGCATATACCGTGGAGCCTTTTGAATTTGGTACTATGTGTTTTATCTAGTAAAAATAGAAGTCAATTGATGAAATATATAAAAAGGAGGACATGCAGTTTGTCAACAATGTGTGTGCAGTCCCAGTTCTGTGCCAGGGGCTGTGATTAAGGCTGAGGATGCAGCCACCAGTGAGGCGTGGTCCCTGCCCATGACAGCTCCCAGTCTAGAGGGAGACAGCCAAGCAGTGGGCAGTTGCCATCCTGTGTGGCTGAGTCTGGGGAGGGCTCCATGCAGAGTCTGCATCCAGGAATAAAGGATTGGAAGACTTGGCTTCACCCTTTCTTGCTGTTTCTACTTAGTTTTGCAGTTAGAGCTTCCTCCAGCAAACATTTGACCGCCATATTGTCTCAGATCTTCTAACTAAAACTGGTGGTGTCGTGGGAGAATGGTGAAAGTACACGGCATCTCGAGGCAGCGGTTCCGTCTTTGGGTGGCTTGGTTACTGCAGCAGGGCTGGGTCCACCCTCGGCTCAGCAGGGACCTTCTCTCCCTTGGTCTCAGGCCACATCTTACTTAGAGTGTCCTGCTTCCCTCATTTGCTGGGGTTTTGTTTTTTTTTCTTCTCATCTGCTCATCCGTTTTCTCAGGACCTTAGGTTAAAAGGCTAACTGGATTTGTTTTTAATTGAGGTAAATTCATCTAACATAAACTTAACCATTTTAAGTGTGTAATTCAGTGGCATTTACTACATTCACAATATTGTGCAACCATCACTTCTATCTAATTCTAAAATATTTTCATCACCCTAAAAGGAAACCCCGTACCCATTAAGCCGTTATTCCCCATTCTCCCTCCCCGCAGTCCCTGTCAACTACTAATCTGCTTTCTGACTCTATGGATTTACCTATCGGGGGTATTTTATATAAATGACATCATCTAATAGTGACCTTTGTAACTGGCTTCTTTCACTTAGCACAACGGTTTCAAGGTTATCCACGCTGTAGCAAGTATCAGTACTTCATTCCTTTTTGTGGCTGAATACCATCCCATTGGATAGACACAGCACAGTTTATCCATCCTGCAGGTGGTGGGCAGTTGGCTCTGGGGGGTGGTGCTGCTGTGGGGGTAACTGGAGTTTAAACGCCTCTGTTACTTCTTTGGGCCCACGACTGTTAGTGATTCCAATTATTGTCGTTCATCCTTGTGGTAATACATTCTATTTCCCTGTCTTCATCCCCTGCATCATCATCAGAGTGACCTTTCTAGAACGTGGGAATGGGCATGCCACTCTTCTGTTCAGAAATGTTTGATGGCTCTTCCCCTTCCCTCTTCTTTTTCTCTCTTTTTCTGGTGTTTTGTGTTCCTTTTCTGCACGTAATGAAATTGACTTCATTGTTTATCTTTCCGCCACACACACCAGCCCTGCAGGCTCCTCAAAGAATCAAACAATACATACAAATATGGAAAAGAAAATAAAAGTCATTTACAATCCCGCTCTCCTGAGATAATTGACTACCCATTGACATTTCAGAGACCGTCTTTTCATGTATCTCCTTATGAATAAATGCACATACATCTATGTAAGTTTCAAGGAAGAAGATAGTATCATAAATGTTTTGTTGTGCATATTCCCAATCATTCGTCTCCCCTCTGTTGGCACCACACCCCATCACTGCCTCCTCAACTCCCAAACCCAGATCAGCAGCTGGTACAGCCTGCTTGTGCCCCTTGCTAACGTGTTCCGGCCACATCCCCCTCAGGCTGGTCTGTAGGCAGGTCCTCTGCCTCAGAGACACTGCAGAGACCTTCCTTTATTTCGGGCAGAAGCTTTGTGAACAGAAGAGTTAATAACCACCAGGCTATTGTGAGAGAAGTCTTATCCCCTTCTCACCCTGTCCTCATTCTTTCTTTCCTTCTCTTGTCCCCAACCAACATCATGTCCACATCAAGACACAGCATGTTTTCCTTCTTCTGGCTCATCTCCTCCACTGACCTGGGCCCCTCTGCGCTCCTGCACCCACAGAGGAAAGTTGGGGGGCACCACTGCCGCGCTTCCTAGCACGGCAGCCCGTCTCCTCTCCTCCTGTCGTTGACACCTTTGGTGTGCTGTGCAGCATTGTGCGGACCCAGCCTTTAAGAAGTGTGCTTGGGGGGGAGCAGAGCCACTTTCACGAGAAAACTGTCCTCTCTCTGTCTCCTTCTTCAGCTGTGTTTATTCAAGATGGAAGGCTCCTTTCCCATCTCGAGTTTGGTGCCTTTTTGTATGCCCACACAATGCCCCCTTTTTCTCAGGGCACTATTCAGCCAGATTCTGGGCAAGGAGCATCATGCAAAGGAAATACAAATCAAAGGTTTATCACATCCTCATTCTGACAGGTTTAAATAGAAGCACAATGTCTACCATAACTCCAGTGCTATGAGTTTTCATGTTTTTTAAAGACTAATTGTGAGCCCTGCCGAAAGGTTTGTGTAGGAAGGAACACTTCTTTTTTTTTTCCCCTTTAATTTAAACAGCAGCACTAGTTGGCATGACAACCTGCGCTATTAAAAGTAAAGCAACAAGCACGGCTTCCTCTGTTTTTCAGAATGAACCCAAGCTGCTAAGGAGGTTTGTTTCTTGAATTTGACTATTAATGGCTCCATTCTGACAGAATGTTATGGGGTCCTTTTTGAAGGGTGTATGTGTCCCCTCTACATAGACATGGCAGCTTTAAAGACAGAAAGGGTATTTTTATCTTTCCCGTTGAACTCATATTCATTTGTTTATGGTTAGTCTCGGCAGCATTATAGTTCTGTGGGTAGAATTGTCTGGCTAGTGCTTGTACCAAAGGGACATTTCCACATCCCTAACCCAAACACTTACCTAATCAAGGGGCATTGTGAAAAATACTTATCTGTCTACTTAAGTCTGCTTCACAGGCCACCATTTGTTAGTTTACCTTAGAGTTTGGTATTTCATGCAGCCCCACTCGTACTGCCGAAAGCCGACCTTGACCTAGGTGTCAAGGTCCCTAGAAGGCGTCAGTGTGGCCTGACACAGATGGAGCCGCAGGCTTCTGAGAAGTTAAGGCAGAGTGTTTGGTTCATGGTAGGTGCCCAATAAAAACTTGCTGAATAAACTGAGGCTTCAAAGTCAGTGTTCTCATCCTGCTCCCTTTTCTTTGGTTTCGTCTCCTTGTAGATGTGCAATGAGTGTATCTTCCCCAGGCAGGCCCAAGGTTAAAGGTCATTTACCTGGGAAGTAGGCGGCAGC